CACAATGCGAACAGCTGATAAAGATAAAGTGCGTTCGTTTTTTTTTCAAATTACGGTTTACATTACAATGAGCGATGAACGGGTAAAAACCTGTAAGATATTACATTTAAAGAAAAGAATTCAATCAGTGTCTTTGGAAGATTTTTCCAGGCGTTCAACTGAGTGTATTGTTTTTCATTCATCGACCATTGTTGAATCATCGACCGTGAGGGGACTCTTCTAATATAGAGGGCTCTTCTATTTCTCAACCCTTCTCCAAAGAGCTCTTTTATTAGAGTTTTTAGTTTGGTGGACCTGGGCCCAGTTCTTTGTCGGATGGTTTCTAGTTTGTGAAGTTCGATTTTAGCTCATCTGGTCCTTGGTCCTTTCTGAAGCCGATCAGCCGAGTACTCGACCCTGATAGGCAGAGTACGGATTGTTGGAAATATGCGGTTGATGTGTAACAAAAACTAGTACCAACAAATATTTAGAAAGATGCAAACTGTCGAGATAATACGCCTTATGAAAGCTATGCAGGCCCTGATCCGGGAATAAACCCCAACCCGGAACATGCGCTCGCTAAGGGAAGGTAATAGATAATTAACACCGATAAGCATTCCTAAATTGTATACCGTATTCTCTCTAATAGTAGTGTACCCCGGTGAGGCGAGTTGGTGACTATTTTACGGTTTCCAAGCTTTTGCAGAAGCTCAACACTCAAATCCCCCCACTAGATCTCATCGTCAGCTACATTTTCCGACCCCACATCGATAGGTTCTGATAAGCGGTTCTCGAGATTTCGAGCAATTTAGGCAACGCTCAGGATGCACTACTATTAGAGAGAATACGGTAACAACAAAAAACTAATTAAGATATTAAGATCCTTGGGCTTCCATCTTGACGTCAGATCGACGACCGCAACGATATTCACTAGAGAACAATGTGCTTTTTGTCTTGAGTACGATATGGGCAGCAAATGGTTTTGGGGATGTACGATTGAAATTTAAATAACTGGCTTTACTTTCCCCAACACATAGATTACACTCTGGGCAAAACGTCAATGTGGAGTCCGCCGTATTATCCATGGATTTTTGACAGACAAGATCAACAACTGCTGGCTTCCGGATCGCTTGATCGCTGGAGCAACAGATTCTACGATGTGCAAAACACTTAATGTACCTATCGTACAATTCATCATTTAGTCTGTAACCAATGTTGCACAATTTGCGGTAAAAGTCGAACGACTCGATGCGGGCAGCCTCCAACTGAAAGCAATGCTCTACAATGACATGCAATACGACTTGGGCAATAATTGCTGGGAGGGATCCTTCCTGCTAGCTTCTGAAGAAAAGTTTGTTACCTCTTTATAAGTACCAACGTCAACAAGATTACAAGGGAGGTTTGTCAACTAACCACCAGCTTTTAAAACGTGACCTAACACATGTAGCTCAGTTTTTTTGCGCTGATTTCGAATATGCGAAAATAAGACACCGCCTTAAAAAGGGAAAAATTAAGAGAGAGAAAATAGTGACCGAATGGCGTAGTGTTAGTGCTCTACGCTCACATTTTTGCATTCCTACACTCTGTCAAAAAATTATAGACGCACCCTGTTTTTTGGTAGTTTAGAGCCGGATATAAGTGCTAGTCCAGTGCAAAGTATTTTTTTAGTTTCTTTAATGTAAAAAAACAACCCATGCAAAATTTCAAGTCATTTCACTCATCCAAAGTACTTTATCGTACAAAAAACGTTTTATCAGCTGTCAAAAAATTATAGACGCACTTTTATTTGACGATTTATTCTATCAATAATTGTTAGTTTTTTCTCATTTTTTTTTGCTTATTAGTTATGTTTATAAATGTTTATAAATGTTTTTACATTTTCAGATATGCCACTTGGAAAACAACTGGATGTGGTGGAAAAAACGCGTATCGATGTGCTCCACACGCTTGGTCACTCAAACAGGGACATTGCTCATCGCATCGGACGTTCTGAGAAGTGTATTCGCACGTATCTCAAGACCAAAATGACTCCTAAGAAGAAAGAAACACGGGGCCGGAAGAAAAGGTTGACCGATCAAGACGAACGCGCAATTACGAGACGTCTTTCCAACACGACGACATCACTCGAAGAGGTTCGCAAGGAGATGAAGCTTCCGGTCACTCGCCAAACTGTGCACAACGTTGTCAAACGATCTACAATACTCAAATACAAACTCATGAAGCAAGCTCCACGACTCACAAAGGACCATAAAGCCGCCCGTATCGATTTCGCTCAAAAGAACCAGAAGACCAAATGGGAAGAAGTTACTAGTATTTCTTATGTATTTTATGTTTAGATCATTTGGAGTGACGAAAAGAAGTTCAATCTTGATGGTGCTGATGGTTTTCGAGGATATTGGAAGGATTTGCGGAAGCCGGGCATGGTCTTCAGCACGAGGAACTTCGGAGGTGGATCATGTATGGTATGAGGAGCCTTTCAAGACGGTGAACTGGTCGGGTGAGAGTTTATTTCGACCCGGATGACATCGCTTGACTATCAACAAGTGTTGGACAAACATCTAGCCGTCTATCTGAACAACAATCCGGGCAATAACTTTACTTTTATGCACGATAACGCGAGTATTCATGCAAGTTGCTCCACAAGAGCTTCGCTGACAGCGCACAAAATCGGCACTATCACTTGGCCCGCTTGCAGCCCAGACTTGAACCCGATTGAGAATGTGTGGGGGACACTCGTTCGAGATGTCTACAAGGGAAACAAACAATATTCGAGCGTGAATGAACTCAAGAAATCCATTCAAGTAGCCTGGAATCGGCTTCAGCCAACAGCGCTCCATGACCTTGTCTCTTCGATGCCGAGACGTCTTTTTGAAGTTGGACTAAAGCAAGGAGGGGCCACACATTATTAATTTATTTGGTTTTCGTTGTTATTTTTATTTCTGTTAACTTTTTCTTGATAAAATAAAAGTGCGTCTATAATTTTTTGACAGCTGATAAAACGTTTTTTGTACGATAAAGTACTTTGGATGAGTGAAATGACTTGAAATTTTGCATGGGTTTTTTTTTTTACATTAAAGAAACTAAAAAAATACTTTGCACTGGACTAGCACTTATATCCGGCTCTAAACTACCAAAAAACAGGGTGCGTCTATAATTTTTTGACAGAGTGTAGTTCGAATCCGGGTGCAACTTTTCTTTTTGATTTTTTTTAAAAACAGTCTCTAACACTTTTTTGTTTCACCACTTTATGAAAAAGTTGAGAATTCAAGAAAGCTTTACACATCCAATTTATGAAGAAATTATTTCCAATGCACTGTTGACACATGGCAACTTGCCAATATTGTTGGCGATATGGAGAGGTAAAACGTGTTTAGCATGAGCTGATCGCTTCCTTTGTTGCTTGAAAGCCTTGGCTAGTCTAACTTTTTAACTTTGACTAGTCTAGTTCCTTGTTAAATTCCTGAGCAAATTCAACGGTGCTTGCATTTTTCGCCTTATTTCGCGCGGATTTGCATAGTGTCATTCGTGGTTCTTTCAAAAAAAATCTGACAGCTCTGATAACTAACTTTTAGCAGATTGGCTCGCTCTATACATATTCAAAATGGTAAAACAAAAAAAGTGTTAGAAAATGTTTTCAAAAATCAAAAAGTTGCACCCGGAATGCAAAAATGTGAGCGTAGAGCACTAACACTATGCCATTCGGTCACTATTTGCTCTCCCTTAATTTTCCCTTTTTAAGGCGGTGTCTTATTTGCGCAAAAACCATATTTGCGCAATTTTCGCATATTCGGAATCAGCGCAAAAAACTGATCTAGATGTGCTAGGTCACGTCTTAAAAGCTGGTGGTTATTTGACGAACCTCTCTTGTAAGCATAGAAGTAACTCCTTTTAACATCCTTTCAGTTACACTCGACCATCCGCTGAAGATCTATCTTTTGATGGGCGCTGTTTTGAGGTAAAAACCACTCGTTCTAACCTTGTTAAGCTATAACTATTTCGCCAAGAGTATAGGCACTATTTATAGTTTTAGCTCATCTGGCATCCCAATGAGCAACTGGGAGAAGAGTTCGGCTTTATGATGAAAATCTCGGAAGAACCGAGAACATTCGTGCTCGACGAGCAAACTCCATCGTTTGCAATTCATGGCGTTCGGCTTAGCACTTTTGATGTATTAAGCCTGTTTCTTATTTAAATTCTAAAAATTTCAGGGTATTCGAATAGCGACTAGCCAACCGGTAACCCTCGTGCTCGATCTCACAGTCGCTAGTAGGTTCTTCAAGTATACAGGATGACCCACAATTATACCGCCGCACTTCAGAGAACCTAGATTGACCAAAATTGGATCAATCGTTCTGCTTTTTCTGGAGATGAATCTTAAGTATGTCTCCTGGAATGGTGCTTATTATCTAATCAATTCAAGCTTTCGACTTTCTTATATAACCCTTCAAAGTTGAGAGTAGCGTGCCGAGCAAAACGGTGTTAGCAGCTGAGAGCCGAGCAAAACTCGGCTCTCAACTTTGGAAAGCCATATAAAAAGGTTGAAAGCTTGAATCGATTAGATAATGGACAACTTTTTTAGGAGACATACTTAAGATTCATATCCAGAAAAATCAGAACGATTGATCCAATTTTGGCCAATCTTGGCCCTCTGAGGTGCGGCGCTATAATTATGGGTCATCCTGTACATCCAGCAGTTATTGGATCACGGTCAACCAGCATAAAACTCTTTAGATAAGCCCAATCAAGAGCCACTACCAATTTTCCTTAATGAAGAGCTAGTTTCTTTTACCAAACCCGAGAGCATGTACGTTTCTTCTATGTTTAGCACATGTTTAGTCTCTTTACTTCCAAATACAGCACATATTTAGTCCCTTTACTTCGAAAAGCAACGAATCTGTCGAAAAGGGTCACTTCTTTACATCTCAATATGTGTTGGATAACACGACCTCTTTGTTGATTAGAAACAATCCCGATGTCAATGCGACTCTCACCGTATACGCTCTTTCAGTTCGGGTGGCACAATGGGTGAACGGTTGGTTGGGTTACACGATTCATTTTCTTTTTCTCCGTTTCCTTTCTGCTTTTCCACACTCCAAAAAAACGAGTTTTCTTTAGCTTCTATTCCTGTTTTTTTTTTAAAGTAAACCTACCGTAAATACTGTAATAGTACCCCACCCCCCTCGTACAGTTGCGTAGTCGCAAAAGTTTTTTAGCATTTCATTTTTTTCAAAGCGCCCGTAGTTTCAAAAAATGCGTCTTTGGTATCAAAAAATAGCTGAAATACAGGGCTATTTTTTGATACCCAAGCGCGCATTATAGCATAAACCAGTGTCGAGAAAAACTCGTTCAAAGCTAGACTACGAAACACTCCGCACCGTCATTATGGGGGTGCGGTACTATTACAGTATTTACGGTATGAATTGTTAATTATAGATAAAAGAAAGCTTCTTGTCATACCGGGCCTCATTGATCAAGACAATAGTTTTTATGTTCTGGTAGCGGAGAACGTCACTGTGACAATCGTCGGAGATCCGCGCACTTTTAGTTATGAGTGCGTTGATTTGTTATATTGAAGCCTGATCGGAATTGCCTCTATATCTATATGAAATTTTATAACATCAATATTCTAGACCTTCTGATCCAACGAGAAAACCACGCATCTTGATGATACCGCTTGGGATATTCTATGGACCAAAGGAGAGCTGCTTGTTGTTTAGTGTAAGCCTTGCCTTCAACCTGTTTCTTTTTACTTCGAAAATGGTCTGAAGTTTTCTTTCTGAACAAGTTATCTAAACACTAATGATGCACTTTTCGCCTTGATCCGACTCATAAGATTAGACCAAAGTTTACCTCTCATCGCTCATTCCCTTGGCTTTGGATGAGCTTTGGAGCTTTGGATGCGATGAGAGGTTGGTTTGGTTGAAGCTTTGATTGAAATAGAGCTTTTGACAACTAAAAAAGTGCATTTAAAACGAAAATATCTACCTAGGAAAGCATCACTTGCCGCTCCGAGACTCTTTATTCGACTTTTGCTGGAGGGGAGCCCGGATATGCATTGAATGAGGAACACCACCTGGCCACTGAACAGTGAGTGCTATACAGTTATCAATATGCCACAGAGCAACTCTTTTTGATTACTAAAGGCAGATTCAAAATTTCCCACTCACGTTATAAACTAGAAGAATTTTACCAAACAAAGTAAAGCACTAAAGTAAAAGCATATCCAAAAGCCTATTTTCTGCCTAGCTGCCTAGCTAGCCCATTTCAGCTTATAACGTGTGTGTGAGAACATTTGAGTCACCATTTAAGTATCTCGTTTTGATTATCGAACATTTGAACGTTTTGATTATCGAGCATTCGAACATGGCGGGGTGCGTATAAAAGGTCCGTCGCCCCGCCCCTTTTGCTATTGGCAAGCTAACTTTGAGCTCAAATATCTTGGGGTTGGGCGATCCAATTTAAATGTTCTTGATATCATTGAATGCGCCAAGACTTTCTCTATCGATTGGTAGAAAAACTATCTAAATTGAACAGCCGAGCACCAAGATATTTGAGCTTAAAGTTAGATTGTAAATGGTAAAGGGGGCGGGGCGCGTATAAAAGGTCTGTCGCCCCGCCCCTTTTGCCATTGGCAATCTAACTTTAGGCTCAAATTTCTTGGTGTTGGGTGGTTCAATTTATACATTTTTGGTATCAATGAATGCGCCAAGACTTTCTCTATCGATTGGTAGAAAAACTATTTAAATTGAACAGCCGAGCACCAAGATACTTGACCAAGATATACCAAGATATTTGAGCTTAAAGTTGGATTGTAAATGGCAAAGGTGTCCAGCAAATGTTCCACAATCTCTCGTTTTGACTCACGAACCTTTCCATAGGGCCGGCACTTTCAAAGCATACATCACTTCGACGGCCGGCACCATCTTCACAAAGTCGGAATGCAGTTTTTGTTTGATGTATGAAACGCGAATTTTAGGTACTTGTCTTCGTTTCTCCTCTTGGAGATTGATAAGAAAAATTTCACCAGAAAAAAATATCGAGGCTAGCCAACTTTATAGCTCTCAAAACGCTAGTAACACTTAAGAAATGTCTAGTCTCAGGGAAAAAGTACTTCATAAATCATCTCTTAACATCTGTACTGTTATTCTAGCGAACGTGTTTCTGGAAGAACATTTGGACATTAACGAATATTCAATCTGGACTCCACCCTTTTATCCCTGGATTCACGACTTGCCAGAGAAGATCAATAATCAAGATGTGCGGTATCCTTTTGAAGAAGATGGCGTCTTTCAAGTCGACTACAAGCATCTAGCTTATGTAAGATGTTAAAGCAAGTAGAGTTTTTCAAATTAAATTTTTAAAAAAGCTAAGTTATCAGTTATCATGTGCACTTTGCGCTATTTTCTTTGCAAATCCTTGAAAACTGAGCTCAGCAGTGAAAACTGAACTCAGCAGTGAAAACTGAACTCAGTAGTTAGGCAAAATTCGAAACCCCAGCTTTATTAGTTAACAAAGTTGTTCATCATTTAGAAAACGTTTTGTTTATGCAGAAGGTTTTTAGTTTTTCTAACGTTTTCTATTGGGTTGGTGAATTGAAAACTACCGGCTATTCTTATATGTCCCAGTTTGAGCACTTTCTTCAAAGAAACCCATTTTGGTGTCAATGGAAAAGTGTAGAGAATCAAAATCAAGCTTATATCCAAATTTTCAGAACGATTCAAAAACTGGCTTTCAAGAAATGCCAAATTTACGAATTTTCACAACACTTGCATTTTAAGCGAAACTACTAAGTGTATCTTTTTGGAAATTTGGCTAGAAGCCTAATTTTTGATTCTCTACAACTTTTCTAATGACACCAAATGGGTTTCTTCTGAAGAAAGTGCTCAAATGCTCAAACTGGGACATCTCCAGTCCCCCCATTTTTGAGTCTCACACTTGTCTCACACACAAACCAAAATCCTACTACGAAAGAGGAATCCGCAAATTGCCTGTAAATGGGCAGAAGTCGTCAATAATAATGGAAATTATTTGGAATGAATTTAGGTTTTATGTTGAATAAATTTTAGTTCAAAGTCCGGCACTTTTCAATTCGCCAACCCAATAGTAGTGCACCCCGGTTTACTGGGAGTTGCTGGATAGCAAGACGACCCTTAATGCAATCAAATACAGTGAACAGTTGGAAAAGGTGAATGAATCCCTGAAGAAGAATAGGCCCTCCAAGTCAAAGATCGTTCTTATCCACGACAACGCGCGCCCTGATGTTGCAAAACTGACTCGCTCTAAAATAAACGGCGCATTCCCCATACGGTCCGGACCTCGCCCCTTTTGATTACTATTTATTCCGAATCATGAGTAATGAGCTTGCGGGAGAACACTTCGATTCGGAAGAAGCAGTCAAAAATTGGCTTTGAAAGTTTGGCTTTCAAAACCAAAATCCTACCACGAAAGAGGAATCCGCAAATTGCCTGTAAAATCGGGAGAAGTTGTCAATAATAATGGAAATTATTCGGAATGAATTTATGGTTTTATGTTGAATAAATTTTAGTTCAAAGTCCGGCACTTTTCAATTCGCCAACCCAATAGATAGAGCCTAATACAAAAAGTATAATGAAAAAATAGCTTCGGAAATTCCGACCACCATTCACGCTTGAAGTCAAACGAGCACATCCAGCGGTGAGCGTGACAGCTTACTTAGCGACCGATTGCTACAATGGAATCATGACTTTTGGTCCAATAAAGTAAGCAACCATAGTCGCCAAACATTGTCTCGTAAAAATATCCTTTAGTGTCACTTCTGGAAGTGTTTACAAATTCGAAATGCTATGCATATTCGTGAGATTTTTTTAGTTGCTCTAGTAATTAATTGCCTTATTTTTAGGTAGAGTTCCCCCCAACATTTCCCGCTGATAAAAGCACCGGATTTTTGATGATACTTCGCGAAGAGTCGAGAATCTTCACACTTGATCCTGCAACTCCTTCCTTCGCTATCCATGGGGCTCGTCTCGCTGAGTTTAATGTAAAATATATCTGCTATATATAAAGGAGACGTTTGTCCGTCTGTCCGTCTGTTCGTCTGTGCGCAGGAAAAAAGGGACGGGGATTAGTCAATTTGCACAGGCTTAGCACAGGTTTCCGCATCCCTGGAAAACGCGAACGTTAGTGAGCGTTACCAGTTACAACTGGGGTTATAGGTTGGTTTGTTGCATACACCAATCACAATTCACAACACACACTAGGCTAGATCTTCACCCACGCCTTCCCTGGACAAGCAGTTCCCTAACCCTACTGACGGGATGCCAACTCTTAATGGATACTCTTAATGGACGGTCCCTAGATAGCTTGTTCTGGCAGTGAAGTTCTGGAGATGAAGAAGAAGATGGTGAAGGCTATCCGCTTTACAGAACTAGCGCCTTTACTAATCTATCCATCTAATCAAAGCCAGACGGGTTGGAACCTACAGCACTTCTTCTTCTCTTCACTTCTCTTTGCACAAGAACAGGGAAGAGACCCCTGGCACATCTCATGCATTCGAGCCATAGACTAACCGAGCCCGACGTTGCTAACTTGACAGATTTGATGAGATCTGATGAACTTGACAGATTCGTGTTTCAACGTGGCGAGACCGTAGGCAAAACATCGGCTATACAACCGTTTCAATAAGCTAAGTGATGTTTCAGAAAGTCTACATCCGGACCGAAGAATTGGTGACATTTCTGGTCACGTACACTCAATATGGTGGTGGGAAACCCGTGGAAAACACGGTTTGATTAATTAATTGACTAAATTCACTTAATTCTTTGTTGTTTTAGAATAGCTGCTTGAGTGAATTCCCTTTTCTGATAAACCAAGACACTCAGAAGTTCTTGAGTGCTGTGGAAATGTTAGTTTCAAATAATTGTCAGTGGGATGTTAAAAATTGGCTTTTAAATTTGTCTTCTTATTTGAGTAGAAGTCAAGAAGTTAAGAACTACAAAGAGCTAAATAGGGATCACTAGGAAACAGATAGGAACCAAATAGGAAACAAATAGGAACTACAAAGAGCTAAATAGGAATCACTAGGAAACAACTAGGAACCAAATAGGAGCCACAAAGAGCTAAATAGGAACCAAATAGGAACCAAATAGGCTCTTTGTAGTAAAAATTTGTGAAGTCAGAAATTATGAAAGCTTGATCTGAACTATTTTAGGGTTGTATCATAGAATTTTATAAATCATTGTCATTTTATAAACCATAATGTTACAACATTACAACAGACACCTTTAAATTAAAACTTTATCTCCTTTTTGCAGCCCATTCACCTCTGTTATAAGTGGTGGGCAAGAGTGGAGCCACTTCATAACGACACAGTTCAAAAATGAAGCCCTAGCTCAGCTTGAGTTTCGAGATTTCCCCTGTCAAGAAGCAAACGTGTCAGATTATGCAATTGGTGTTCGCGTCGAAAAATGGGTGCATGGTGCGTGGAAAGTTGTTCAATGAGAAACCGATTCGCTTCAGACACAAAAGATTTCCTTCTGATCCCAGGAATCAAAAATGAACCCAAACAACCCTACGAGTTTTATATTTTGGTGAAAGAGAGCACAATTGCTACGATCGTCCCTCATCCCGAAGATTACAAGTTATTGCTTTTTTTTCTGAAGAAACGGGAAAGCTCTTTAGAACAACCATCTCTTCCCTCAGTCCTTTTGTTACATTGAGAATTTTTGGTGTTGATGCGAGCGAGAGTTGCTCAATGATTCGGGCAAGTTTCACAAAATGCTTAAGACCAAATTTAAGATCTTTTTTGAAATCTTTAAAGCTTTAAAGAATGGCAGAAATTACTAGGGAATGGTCAGAAGTGACCGTGAGATTTTGGCACCAAAATGAGATTCAAACACCTATCGGATACAGCGAGTACGATGATGCTTTCGGATTTTGCTAAGGATGTTCAAAACTAATTTGCTCTGTATACGAATTATTGGTGTGCTTTTCCTTGAATTTACTAGACCCTAGACTTGTGCGCTTTTACTTGAGTGAATAACAAAAACAGCTTTATTCAACAAACGCGGATCAGCACCAGCATAACCCGAATAAATCTAGCTAGCTTTATTGAAGAAAAGCGTGTGAAAATGTTTCAACGAAACTGAAAGAAATGCTTGTGCCTTAAAGGTGAAGAATAGAAAATTAGCATAGCCATTATTTAAGAAACAACCTTTGTTGAAGTATGCCATTAGAAGTGCCAATTCGGTAAAATCCATCTACCGACTCCGTCACCTAAAAAACCGAAATTTAGAAATTCAATTACATTGAAAAACTGTAATAATAAAAAACGATAGACCAACGCGTCGCCCGTAACTCCAACAACAGAAAAGAGCCCAGGGAGTGGGGGCAAATTCAAAAATTGAGAAAATCTTGTCAGCAAGTGAATTGGATTCTCCAAAGAGAAATTTCTGTGATAGTAATAGAGTCATTCCTTCTAATGGCAGATGTTTTAAATCATATCGGCTAGCCGAAAAGGTTTCAAACCTCTTCGGCTAGCGATTTCGACTACGACAATATAAAATAGAAAGCTTAGAAAAAAACCATGGCTCTGAGGGGAGGACTCTACTCTAACCAGGGTCGCAAAAATGAGAGGGGAGGACTCTACCCGCTGACCAAGATGACACAGTTCTTTTGCCTGAAAGAAGTCGTTTTAAAGAAGCGTGCCTTGTTTTCGAGTAGATGTCAAAATTTCAAAGCCGTTTTTCTCGAAAACTAGCGATTCTTAGCAAAATCCGAAAGCATCATCGTACTCGCTGTATCTGATAGGTGTTTGCATTTCATTTTGGTGCCAAAATCTCACGGTCACTTCTGACCATTCCCTTGTTAGCTGACTGAATAAGATCAAAATTGTTTCTAGGCAAATCTCACTTGCCCAGCATCGACGATTTATTCGGGCTATGCTGGTGCCGACCCAGGAATTTCTAGAAGCGAAAGACATCAAATTGTTGAAGCTCAGTAAGTTTTTCTATTCGAAAGTTCGGCAATAGCAAACGACAATGTAGTAAACTTGTTTTGTATTAGGTCAGATACCTTTTTGTACTACTCGACTTCAACAGCGTCTAGTATTTTTGCTAACGACAAGTGTGGCTTTTGCTTGCATTTTACTACAATAAACGCTGGTTTGTTTCGCTTAAAAAAACACGGATTTTCTGCTCTTAATAATTTTCTCAAGAAATCTTACTTTGTTAGATGAGTTCTACAAAGAAAACAACTACATGCTTGTCGATCGCCTCTCCGTGTGGACTCCCGCGTATCATCCTTGGCTCCTCGATGAGCAGGATAAAATGAATTATATGAGAACAGAGAGCGGATTCTCCATTGAGGGCGAGCCAGCAAATAGCGTAAAGATTTGATCACTGATCACTGATCACTGATCTTATTTAGAAGATCAGTGATCTTCTAAATCTTCTAAATACAGGCTGCGGTATAATTACTGACTCAAGCTTTTAGAAAAACTTTTCTGCATTGTATTGTATTCTATACTATTTGAAAGATCTAATTCTGAGCTATATAAGCTTAAAAGCTTATATAAGCTTAATTTTTGATTGGAAAACCTTCGAATCCTTAAGGTGACTCGGGAGGGGCGCACAGCAAACACTCCTTGGCTACCATTTTTCTTGGTGTTCTAGATAAGAATCCTCCCTGAAAAATCCTTTCTCAATAGTAAATTTGTGCATAATTTATCCAGATATATTTATTTCAATAGTTTTCCACAAAAATTATAAGTTAAACATGTTTTAATCACCAATTTTTGACGCAGGGAGATGCACAACAAAAAGCGCTATCATTTTTCTTCGTTTACTAGGGAAAGGGAGTTTCAAAAGGAGTTGTTTTTAGTTGAATAAAGTTTTAACAAGTCTATTAGTTAAGAAAGAAGCAAGTTTGACGGAATAGAGGCGACTTTTAGCTCAAAAAAAAGTCTCCCACTCTGCGCTAAGGCACTCATTTTGTGGGAAAAGGAGAAATTGGTATGAGGCTTCAAAAATTGGTGATTAAAACATGTTTAACCTACCATTTTTGTCAAAAACTATTGAAATAAATATCTCTAGATAAATTATGCACAAATTTACTATTGAGGAAGGATTTTTCAGGAAGGATTCTGATCTAGAACACAGAGAAAAATGGTAGCCAAGGAGTGTTTGCTGTGCGCTCCTCCCGAGCTAAAAGTCCCGAGCTTTTTTGAGCTAAAAGTCGCCTCTATTCCGTCAAACTTGCTTTTTTTCTTAACTAATAGACTTTTTAAAACTTTATTTATCTAAAAACAACTCCTTTTGAAAGTCTCTTTCCCTAGTAAACCAAGAAAAATGATAGCGCGCTGAGGGATTTTTGCTGTGCGTCTCTCCCGCCTTAAGGATCTGAAAGTTTTTCCAATCAAAAAGCCCTTTTTAAGCTTATATAGCTGAGAAATAGAGCTTTCAAATAGTATATAATACGTAACATTTCTTGTGAAAAGTTTTTTTTAGTAAAATAGGTTTTTTGAAAAACTTGGGTCAATACAGTGCACCATAATTATCGCAAAAAGATAAAGTTCTGATTTTAAGGCAGACAAGAGCAAAAAAGACAATTTTTTAACTGAATAACAGTTATTGTACATTAACAATTATAAATCAACTATCAAATTCGAATCGGTCACCATTAGCATTTGAGCAGGCTCGCAGGAAGGCGTCAACGTTGGCGACCAAATAGGCTGGACTCTTCTCTTCCCACACTTTCAACAGTGATTTCTTCAAGCTTTAGGTTCTAGAACCACAATGAAAAATCCATTGGGTTGAGGTCTGGAGAGCTAGGTGGCCACTCGGAAAAAGAAATGAAGTCCGGGAAGTTGTTTTGGCAGAACTCCTTTGGACTTGTGGGCCGGTGCGCCATCTTGCTGATGCGATTTTGCTGATGCATCTTGCTGAATCCAAGGCGATTCCCAGAATGTTTACGAGCTCAGGGTAAGAGTTCATCCTTGAAAAGAGCCAGGTAGTTATCGGTTTAGATAGTTTTGGTTTGGCTTTTTCCGAATTCTGTCCCTCACTCGTTGAGGTTTGTCTTTGTGACGACAGTTGGGCGTCTACCGCTTCTTGGTGCATCAGCAATTGTTCCTGTAGCTTAGTAGTTGAATAGTGCGGAAAATGACACTTCTTTCGACTTTAAAACCTTTATGAATCTCCGGCGCCGAGACTCCTCGTTTGTGCAATTCGATGATCGATTGTCGATGGGGATTTTCCAGCCATTCCAGCCAGGGAGTTATCCTTGAAGGCGGGTGATACCTTGTTGCGATAATTATGGCGCACCTTGTAATTCTACCGCACCATGTATTAATAAAGAAGTGAAGATATTGACAAGAAAAAGTAGATTTCCGGAGAGGGGTTTGAACCCTCGACCGTTGTTTTGTTTTCTGGGCAATTGCTCTAACCACTGAGCTATCCGGTACCTTAACTTGCCAAGAGAATGAAGAAAAGCAAGGAGGAAGAAGGAAGGAAGAAGAAAGGAAGAAGAAAGGAAGAAAGAAGGAAGGAAAGATAGAAAGTACAAGCTTTTAGAGCGATGCTGATTCAGTCGTGTTCACCGCTAAAGTCAAATCCTTTCGAGGAGTCGCTCTGACCATGACAGCTTACAACGAGAAAGATTGTCGCAAAGACTATAAGAGAAATTTGATCAATTTTGAAGCAAAGTTTTGTTTACAGTTCTAGAGTTATTGATAACTTGAATTTCAGCGCCTCATTGGAAAGCGATATCGAGTGCTTGTGGAACTTCAAGGCACGCTGTATTCGGGCAAGTGTTGTTTTCAGATTGTGTACAAATCAAGATAACAGATTTCTATTTATTTCTATTTAAATAAAGTTAAGCATTGTAGGGATTAAGTTTCGTTGTTTTGCCAACGAATGACACATATTCTTCTAGCTATCTTGGGAACCAATGAGCATCGATGAAGAGACTGGCTTCCTTATCGAGATCCAAAAGTACGACTCATTGTCGGGTAAATTTTGAATACTTTTGTAGAATTTGTAGAATTTTCTCAATTTCCAGAACTTCAAAAGCTATATGATTCAACGCCGAACTCGAGTTTGCCCCTATGTCCAGCGCCACCGGAAGAGTTAAAGCCAAAAGCGTTGATTTGGCTTTGGATCTTTCTTGGATGCATCGTTTTCACACTCTTCTGCACGGCTAATTGCATTTTCTATTTGAGAATACGGTGGGGGAAATCAAAAACAAAAACTTTCAATGTGAAACAGTATGAGGCTAGCGTGCAGATTACCCGACGAAAAATTCTCGAAAACCACTTTTCTGGGGGTTTTCGACCATGCTGAATCCGAATAATATGATCCCAACCAAAACCCTTTTTTCGGTTTTTCTCTTGTTGATTTTATATCGATTTTACTACCATGTCTAATTAATGCTTTTCTTCTAGGATGACGGACATTAGTGAGTTGTTTGATGATTTGCCAAATGCGCCAACGGTGGCGCCGTAGGCGATGCGCGTGCTAGCCCGTGATGCGCGGTCGGGATAAAGCTTGGATCTCGTTTCTCTTCAACTTCTCATCCACATTTTACTGCCGTTGTTGGGTCGGACTCAGTCGAGTTGAGATCGGGAAAGACGCGAATCATTGTTCATTTTGAAACTAATCCGGTTTGTATTTGGTATTCCTGCGGCACAGCGTGTTTTTTTAAAAGAGGTTTTTTAAAAGAGAAACCACGTGACGAGCAGAGAACACACAAAAAATATTATCCGATTGAGCTAGGCCGCTCTGTCCAACACCAAAAATTCGAGTTTTGTACTCAAAATTTTTTTTTTTCCTTGGTCCCCCAAGGCAAAATTTTTCAAAAAAGCTAAAGAATTTTTTTTCGTTTCCGGTGATCGGGACTATATTATTCGAATTCAGCATGGTCGAAAACCCCTAGAAAAATGGTTTTCGAAAAACCAATGAGCTTCGATGAAGAGACCGGCTTCCTTATCGAGATCCAAAATTTTTCTTGGGGTAAACTGTACTCTTATCCAATATGATTCAGTTCTCAACTAAAGAAGGCCAGAGACGATGAAGAGCTTGCAAAACTTGTAAGAATATCAATTTGAATATATAAACGATTTGTTTAGCATGGTGTTGAGATGGCAAAATACAAGTGGCTTGGTTTAAGCAAATACAAGTGGGAATTTCAAATGCCAATTGAAATTTCTGTTTTTTGATCTATTCGTTAAAACAGTTGGCAAAAACATGGTGATAAATGGGAAGTGGACCCATCAACAATCGTTATCACCACACAAAAGCTTGGCGCTGGTGCTAGTGGAGTTGTTTACAAGGGACTGCTTAAGGAGGCTCCAACCTCACATAAAGCCATGTTTAGGCTGAATGTAAGTTTTTATGCTTTGTGCTCAAGGTTTAACACTAACTAACGCTGGGTCTGTTAACAAGGGATTGTCAACAGACCCAGCTCACCAAATGAAATGAGCCATACGATCTGACCCAGAATTTTACGCTGATTCCGAATAGCTGATTTGTCTTTGCAAAATGATTTTGAATCGAGAGCAATTTGGCAAACTAGTTCCTCTTTATAACGCGCTTTATAACGGCTTTATAACGGCAAACTAGTTCCTCTACGTGCAAGTGGCTGCATGGTGTTATGGATAATGGGCTAGGATCCGGAGTAGCTACTCGAGGTTTCGAATCTGCTTACTAGCTTATAGCTTATATGTGTTCCTTTGTGCACATACAAACGCGCGTCATCTGGCATAGAACAAACTAGCACTATGCTGGCAATGTTCGGTGTATTCGAAGATGAATTTCGAAGTGCCGCCAACTATAAGTTATAAACAGTTCTCCTCGAGGTGAGGCTAAGGCTTAGAATCAATTCATTAGATGAATTCATGTAGATAAATGTAGATGAATGTAGATTTTAACATTACGATCTAAGTTTCGTTAAAGTCACAAAAAAACACAAAAAGAGGGAGAGAGCGAACCCTCGAGCAGCTCCGTAGCCTTCTTGCTCCTTGTCTTCTTCATTCTCTTGGCAAGTTAAGGTAGCTCAGTGGTTAGAGCAATTGCCCAGTATCCTAACTCACTATCCACTGCACCACACAGCCATTGTCGCGTAGTGCGCGCGTAGGCCTTATAAAGAGAGGCTCATTTCATTTGTTGAGCTGGGTCTTTTGATCATCCCGAAGCTAACCTCACATTTAGTTTAACGCAAAGGCCTCTATTAAAATGATAACGTACGTAGCCGTGAAAACGTGTCAGGACAACGCGCTAAAATCGGACAAGTTCGTCCCTGCTTAAGTGTGATCCCGTAAAGCAATTCAGAGAAGAAATACTTCGTGAAATCGATTTCATGATTAGCCTTGACGTTCATGCACATTTACTGAATCTAC